AACAAACTCATTCTTATATATGCAGAAAAAATTTGTTGTCTATTCATCATTTTCCATTAAAATCGTTCAACATATAGGATATGAACTGGTTTCTCAGTTATAAAAGAAAAAAAAGGATAACACAGGATATGACCTGATTGTACTGATGAACTCATTACTCATATCATTTTAGCGTTTCAGTTTATCGATGTTACCGTCATCTGCAATGATGATGGATTTCCTTATTCTGGGAGTTAATTAATGTGGAGGTTCCTCTCTTCTTTTCTCATTTTTTTACTTTTAGGCATATGTGAAAAATGTTACACCGAAAGGATGTTTCGTAATGCTTTCGCGGAAAGTTGATGCGAAAGTTCTCCTCTCAAACTTGTCTGATGGCTATGTTGAAAACCCGGAGAAAGAATTCCCTGTTGGGAAACTTGTCGTTGGCAAGTAAGTTTTGTCAGTATGGATAAACTATTTATGTCTCAATCCTTATGTTGTCGTAAACTAAGTTCCTTTTACCGTAGAGTGGTGTCAGTGGAGCTATTGTCTAAGCGAGTTGAAGTCACTCTAAGGACATCAAGTGCAGTTGGTGCTTCCAAGTCTGATAAAGATGCTCTAAGTAATTTGACTGTTGGGGATGTCATATCTGGCAGAGTTAAGCGAGTTGAACCGTATGGCTTGTTTATCTTAGTTGACAACACAAACATGGTATGTAACTGGTCACTTCCAGCAGTTATGACTTGCATTTGGGTAGTAAGTTATGACTCAAGTTACCACATTATTACTTTTGCACATGCTTTAACTCACAGGAAATTCAGTCTATATTTTTTTACGTATTGTAATTTCATCAGCTGTAAAGCAATTTCTTGACTCTTTACTGATAAGTGTATCTTTTTTCTTGTCTTGTATTTTCATCAGCTATAAACAAGTTCTCTATTCTTTAAGAAACTTCTGATGTTCATCATGAATATGTTTTTCTCATCAGTTTACAATATTGATGAGCTATGGTTCTTAGCAGAAAGCTCGTGTTTTACTTGTGTGCTGATGATTCAGCTTCATTTTCTAGGTTGGATTGTGCCATGTTTCAGAGATCTCTGACGATCATGTCAACAATATTGACTCTAGATACAAAGCTGGAGATAGAGTGACGGCAAAGATTTTGAAGGTAAATGCTTGTTCTGTATGACAATGCAGTTCCACAGAGTAGACAAATACTCTGGACTAGGTGGAAACTTTATCAAAATTATAAGGAAAAGGGAGAGTAAAAGTATTTTGCTTATATGCCTTGTTTCTTTTTCTTCTCTGTTTTCTTTTCTTTGTTTTTGATTTCCTGGTTCGGACAATAATAAGAATGTTACCCCATGTTATATAAGCGAAATTCACTTAATTTGCACATCTCAAGTTCTTTAATCATCATACCATCGGAAGCACTTCAAGTGCTTATATAGCTTCCAGAATAACATGAGTGATGACTTCAGCTTGTGTGTTGTTTCTTCCATCTGAGTCTGTTTCACTCAAACTCATTTTTTTCAACCTTTTGTTAGGTGGATAAGGAAAGACAGAGAATATCACTTGGGATGAAGAATTCATATTTTAATGATGCTACAAGTGGTGAAACAAATATAAGGCACAGTTCTGGTTATCCAGTGGAAGGAAATGCTCTTTCCATAGGTATCGAGTCAACTCCTTCACCTGAGAGGAGCTCCCAAGAACGAGAGAATCTCGACGGTGAATCTGTAGATGCGACCGACCCGTTCCTTGCTGAAGTTGAATCTCGGGCATCAATACCACCATTGGAGGTCCCACTTGATGATATAGAAAATTTGGATGAGGACGATATAGTTAATCAAGACTCAGGTGATGCTAGCAATTTAGGTACTTCAGATGAAAAGAACAAGAAACTTGCAGCAAAGAAAGCTAAAAGATTGAGGTACTGTTTGATCATTAATCTTCTCTTCAGGTTTACAAATTCATAGAAAGCAAAGTTGTCTGTATCTTTATTGTCTTCATGTGATACAATCTTTTTAATGCAGGGAACAAGAAATTAGAGCTGCTGAGGAAAGATTACTGGAAAAAGATATTCCCAGAGATGAAGATGAGTTTGAGAAATTAGTTAGAAGTTCCCCAAATAGCAGCTTTGTCTGGATAAAATACATGGCATTTGTGCTGTCTTTGGCTGATGTTGAGAAGGCACGCTCAATTGCTGAACGGTAATTCTTTCAAGTTATATCTTCTTCATCTAGAACAAACAGTGAATTTCCTTTCTGCCAAATGAAGAGTTATTAAACAAGCCTCTGGTCATATTGGTATTTATGCTTGTGGAGATTGCCATGATATTTATTCCTTTTCGTGCATTAGTGTTCTTAGGTACTGTGAGTTGTAAAATGTGATGGAAAATTATCTCTAACCTGTTAATTGTGTCTTGATTCTTTTCTCAAGAGCTTTGAGGACAATAAATGTTCGAGAAGAGTCAGAGAAGCTGAATGTTTGGGTTGCCTACTTTAATTTAGAAAATGAGTATGGAAATCCCCCACAGGTATGAAAACAAAGATATCGATCCATTTTTAATGCTTGTTATATTTCACTTTGCAATGAGATTTCTTCCTATATTTTCCTCTGAATCCTTATTCTTGATTTTGATCCAGGAAGCTGTTGCAAAAGTATTCCAAAGAGCATTGCAGTATTGTGATCCCAAAAAGGTGCATCTGGCCTTGTTAGGAATGTATGAGAGGACCGAGCAACACACACTCTCAGATGAACTGCTTAACAAGATGGTTAAGAAGTTCAAGCATTCGTGCAAGGTACTGACAACTAAAAGTGGTTTTGGAAATATTTTGGCTGATCCTATTTAACTATTGCTAACTCTATTTGTTCTCTTTGCATTTAGGTTTGGCTCAGGCGGGTTCAGTGGCTATTGAAACAAAGCCAAGATGGAGTCCAGTCAGTGGTGAATCGTGCTTTACTAAGTCTTTCTCCGCACAAGCATATTAAGTTTATTTCACAGACAGCTATTTTAGAGTTCAAGTGTGGGGTTCCTGACAGGGGTCGCTCCTTGTTTGAGAAAATGCTTCGCGAGTATCCCAAGAGAACTGACTTGTGGAGTGTTTATCTTGATCAAGTACCGTCTTAAACTGAACTTTGATACAAATACATAGACATATATGCATATATAAAGAAAATCTTTTATTTTTACTCTACATGACTCAAATTAAATCAAATGAACAGGAGATTCGACTAGGAGATGCTGATGTGATCCGTGCTTTATTTGAAAGGGCAATTACTCTTAGCCTTCCACCCAAAAAGATGAAGGTGATTATATATTTTTAAAACCCTGGAATATTCTTTACGATATTTCTTGCGATTTGTTTTTTCTTAATTGTTTTAAGATGGTACCGATTCTATGGTTTTCTAATGGCTTTTGATGTTTGGAGTGCAGTTCCTTTTTAAGAAGTATCTTGAGTATGAGAAGATGCTTGGTGATGTCGATCGTATGGAGGCTGTGAAAAGAAAAGCAATGGAATATGTTGAGAGCACTCTTAATTAAACCAGCAGTCATGTAGATCTGAATATCAAGGTGTTGTGTCCTCGATCAGTGCCGGAGAAGAGATGTTCATGGCATGGCCTTGAATCTGTCCATTGGTTGAAATTCAGAGATTTCGTTGAGGTTGAAATTGTCTGATTCTCATGCAGTTTCGACATACAAGCTCGACAAACAGTGGTTAAGTACTGCTGGAAGTAACGTTCCCATCACTATAACCAACTTCTCTTGTAGGACCCACAATTCAGCGATTGAAATACAGCAGTTAGGAGATTGACATGCAACATGCTAGACAGCAGAGAAGCATGTGTTCATGCTGATTTTCAAAATGTCACACTAATTTTGTAACTTATATAGGAAAATTTTGCAACACTGAGGAATTGTGGTGTAAAGAGAATCTAAAGTTTTATGCAAGAGGAATATGCAACTGTGTAGGTGCTTGTATAATTATCAATATGATTCATGATAAAATTACTCATTGTATGGCATATTAACGTTAAAATATTTTGTGGGCAATGCCAGTAAACCACTGTTGATTCATTGCCATTTCCAGTTTATAGAAGCTAAAAGCACGATGGTATCTTTCAGTTTTCAGCAAGAGAAATATATTTTGCAGTGAGAATCAACAACTGTATTGCTGTCTGATGTTAGAAATTTTGTTGCTGAAATGGGTCAAGGAGAATCTCTGTTGACCTCGTTATTTCCAGTATATTTTGAAAGCAAAAAGTGCAAGAAAACAAGATTGCTGGGTTTTTAAATGAAGTGAGAAACTAATAGCGTATGCTAACATCAAAGTGAAAAATGAAATGAAGAGTTCTGCAGGCGTGCCGGAGTCACTTCTTCAAAAGGTTCATCCAATTGTCTGAAACGCTAATTTTAAACATTTCATGGCATTTATGTAAAAGCTTGTCAATTAAAAAACTTGTTTTCAAATTTAAAAATGTGTCATTCTTTTCATAACAAACAGATAAGGAATTAGTGTCATTCTTGGGAATAATGCATTCTTTTTTTGGAGAATACTGTATCCAATTCAAGTTTAGCTGTCGCCATTATCAGCTGTACAACCTACACTTTCACCTCCGAAAAGGTTAGTTGTGAGCTTTATTCTTGGGAATATATTCTTATTTCGCCAGAAAAGAATCTCATAGAATTGAACTTAAATTTGTTCATTGCAGCTTCATTAAAACCTTTGTAACTAGCATAACGGTTAAAAGAGTACAAGGGAATACAAGCTTTATTACTGCATCTCAGGTTGAAAATTGAAACAGTTGTACATAATGGTGACTTCATCAATTTACTAATGACTTGTGTGGTTGACAAACAATAAATCGCCAATATTCTGAAAGAGCTAATCTAAACTGTGCAAATTTTATATCATGGTTTGTACAGCAAACAATAAGCAGGTGGCCTTTTAAGACATCAACCTGTCTATTTATTCCAATTAATCTAGTTATCCTAGAATCCAAGTCCAAGTGCACTGTGAAAATGTGTCAATATCTCTTCAAAAGAAAAGAAAAAAGATCCAACAAACAATTCATAATCGAAAACACAAAACATTCCCAACTAGTAAATATTTCTTCTACAGGATGAAGTACTCTGATAATTTCTTCAAAAAAAAAAAGTCATCACTGGTGGTGAGCACGAAAGATAAGTGAATTTTATCACAGTTATGACATCAACTAGTAATCAAAAAGGCTATACATATTGTTACGCACGCCGACAAAATTGACCACTGCAGGAAAGTTATGATTTTGCATTTCCGTTTTGAGAATAAGGGAAATGCTTACTCCTCCATACGATTTTCCTCGGATTTCTGCTGTGAAACCTTGACCTTGATAGGCAAGGTGAGAGATGGGTCGTTGGCGAGCGCAGCAGGTGCTTTGACCATATGAATGCTCTGCTCGAGCTCCTTTGTTGCTTCTCTCTGCTCCTTGGTTTTCTTACCTTTCATCCTGTCCAATTTTCCAACTACTGTTAGTATTAAAAAAGAAAATAAAACTACATGTTGCAAATTAGTGGAGCAGTAGAAAAGGACCTGTTTTTGTGGTGCCTTTCATCTCTGACAACTCTGATTTTATCAATTTTCTGAATGGCCTTCAGAGTGTTCTCAGTGACATTCCTGTCATATCTCTCCGGCCTATTGCGCTTTCTCTCAAATTCAAATGTTGAGTCCTTAAAATAGCAACATGCAGCAACAACAGAATTCATAATTGAAGAAGAATAAACAAATCAGTGGAGTGGATGGAGCAACTGCATCAGGAAAAGAAGAATGAAAAGGAGGAATAATATTCACCTGAGTCATGTCCTTTCCATGCAGCCGTCTATATGCTTTAGTCCACTTAACTTTTCGTGGATTCCTCTTCATCTTAAAGTTCTTGTGACACTTTGATCTACAGAACCGAAATATCTGCAAAAGGAAATTTAATAGAAAGAACTTTTCATTTACTTGATCAAACAGCAAAAAGTGAGAATATACCCATTTTGTGGCACTAAAGCAAGACGCCATCACTACTGAACATTAGCAGAGCAATAGGAAAGTGAAAAAACAACAAAACAGGACATGGAAAAAAATAGAGCGCAAAAAGATGGTTTCTCTCCTGAAAAACCAGCCACTACTTTTTATTGCTTTGTCTGAAGGTGCATCATCATACTATGGTGGACGAACCATGATAAAGACAAAGAAAATATTACAGATCACATAAATGCACTACGACGTACTCTGGCCTTTATGCACCAGTTTTCCAGTATTGTCAAATGTCACAAAGCACACAATTTTTTATATAAAAAATGTGAGCAAGCACATGTACAGATAATTCTCAATTTTTTCACCAATCCTGACAACCAACATGCTTCTTGTACTAACAGAGTAGTTTATCCATGTAAACTTTGGGAAGGACAAAATTTTCGCCCATTATAGCCTTCTGAATTCGGGAAAATTGCACACTACTGCAAATACCATGCAGTCAATCCTGAAGTCTCAGAAAGGTGACACTTATCACCTTCAATCAAGTGATCAACTCAATACTAATCCTTGGCTTAATCGGAAATTTAGATTGCATACTTTTTAAGATGATGGTGCCTAGGCCAGCTAGCACGTAGCTTAACTACTCCACCCAGTAAATGCTACCTCATATCAGTACAAGTACCAAGTAACTCTGCCCACTAAAACTTAAGCAGATGGGAAGAAATCATCCAGTCGTTTTTGCCTCTACTGTCTCCACGGTTTGCGCACTTTATTGACTACTAGGTCACACCCTTGGGTGTGAAAACCAATTGCTAACATCTCCTGCTCGAAATCCTAAAATGAGCAGTGTTTCTTGCCACAGATCTACCTACACTCAAAAGCTACTCACCTAATAGCCCCACTGAAAAACACATTGACTAAATACTAGTCTTTGCTTAATCAGGAGTTCGAATTACAGACTACTAATATCACTTGCTCAAAATCCTCAAATAAGCAAATGTTTGTGCTCACAACTCAAATCTACTGCCCTAATTGCCGCTGTGAAACACATTGACTCAGGTCAACTCGGACAACGACACTACAATTGCAATTTAACAAATGACAATCACTAATCCTTCATATCTTAACCTGTTAGTTCTTTTTTTTTTTTTGAAAAGATACAGAAACAAGAATAAACTATATGGTTGAATATTTTTCTCTCAAAAGTTTATTAACCATGGGGCTTTAAAGAGCCTTAAAGAAAGCAGTAGACTCCTCTTACTAATTATATTAGTAAACCAAAGTATTAAACTCCTTCTACAACTAAACAAATAGTTATTCCGGCAAATTTGAGGCAACAAAGGACGCAACATTCAGCATAACCATGATATACAAGGGAGGAAATAGCTAAAGAAAAAGAAAAAAATCGTTACCTTAGCGTCGTTTCGAACATATTGAATACCATGGCCTGGATATACAGTTGAGGAGCAAAACCAACATTTCTCCAACCTCATTGTACCCTCCTTTTATAACTTACCTGAAAAATCTTTACCACAAAGTCAGTCAACAATTTGACAGGCAACAGTTAAATTGTTGTATATTCTAAAGCTAGGATTTTTCCAACAAAAAGAATTGACCCAAGTGATTTTACAGTTCAATTATTCAAAAATTGAAAAAACGGAAAAGGAAAATCATGTCAAAACGAGATCAAATAAACAGCAAAGACATTTCGAATTGACAAAAACAAATGAATGACAATTTCTATGGAAAAAACAGCTCTAACATTTTGTAAACACAAGCATATTTGAGAAAATTAGGAGAAAAATAAAGACAAAAAGAGCATGAGAAAGAACCCTAGTAAAAAGCGCAAGGGCGGCTCTAGGGTAAGGCAAGGGCGGCTGGGTAAGGAAGTGAAGCTCCAACAATATTTAATCCCAAAAATATAAAGTACTACTATATCATTATATAATATATATAATTTATATTTATAAAATTATTGATAAAATATTTTAAATTCTAATATTTATTTAAATTTGGTAGACGTAGAATTGAATGAGTTAATAGGATAAAACTTTTCTCTCACTAAATTAAATAAATTCTATTTTTCTTTTTTCATATTTTTTACTATTTTATTTTCTAATTTAAAATCAAATTCTCTAAATTAGCTATTCCTTTTTGTCTCATTTGATAGACCCTCATATCAGTAATTAAGTTCTTTTGTGTCTCATTTTTTTTAACTAAGAAATCCCAGCGACAATTATCGTAAGGTTCAAAACACGATCGATACTAGGCTCAATCCTTTTACCATTTTCATTTAATGCTATATTTTTTTACAGGGAGTTCAATAACATATGACTTACGCCTAACCCACATATTATACGTTGTTCTATCACCTTTTTTTGTCTCAATATTATATGGATATTATGAAAGAAATTTCAGGGTCTTTTAATATATTTTAGTTTTAAGCAACCAGTTCCGTTGAGCCGCCCTCACTAATGATCAACAATTATTTATAGACCACTACCCATGAACGTGTTATTCAACAGCTCCATTCACATTTGGTAGCTAAATAACGTATTCACTAATTGTTGTCTTATCTTAATTGAGACTGTATAAAATTTGATTGAGAATAGCAGAGGATGGACATGTGGCTCGATTAGGAGACTAGTAAAACTTTAATTTAGGTCCCCAAATGTTTTAATTAATGGATTTTATGATTTTATTTCAAGTACAAACGATAATTAGTTTTATATATTTGATAAAATAATAAATATAATATTTGTATTAGAAGTAGAACTAAGATGAACTACATTTCTCATTACCATATTTACAAACAAAAAAAAATGTGCGTGTGAAGCCTGCTTTAATACATGAATTAGTGTACATGATATTAACACTTGTGTTTAAGTATTTGATATATTTATTTCGTTAGATAGTAGAACTATTTTTTTCTAAAAATTTCTTATATTAAAGAAAAGTTGATCAATTAAGAAGGGAGTCCATTACTCAAATGGTCACTCAATTATCCCAAATTATCTTCTAAAGTCACGTTACTTTTGTTTGTAACAACAAAGTCACTAAACTATGCCTATTACACTCAGAAAGCCACTCAACTAGATTTATTAAATTTTGGATTGCCAAATACCTATTTTACCCTCTAAATTATAAATATTTATTTTCTTTTTATTTTTTTTAAAACTTTTTAATATTATAATTTTCCCTTTTTAATTTATATTATGGACTTACCTATAGAATAAATAAATGTTATTTATAAATTTTAAAAAGTATTTAAGCATATATAATGTTGGACTAACAAAATAATGAGCATAGTAAAAAAAATTAATTAGAATAATTTGTTAGTAATAGTAATTTTAGTATTAACAAACAAAAATTCAAAATTTATTTACACAATTCAGAATGAAAGAAAATAAATGTTGTAAAATATATATATTCTATGCACGTAATATAAAAATAATTATTTAAATAAAGGTATTTTTATAATATACATTATATATTCTTGAAAATTAAACTCAATTATATTATTATGTTTTTCTACCAACTTTCCCACGGCACAAAGTTATATCACCGGAAAGCAGGGGACTATCTGTATAGGGTAAAATATGCTATGTTAAGTCGTGCATGGAATATATAAAATATAATTGAACATTATTTTCAAGAATATATAATGTATATTATAAAAATACTTTTATTTAAATAATTATTTTTATATTAGGTGCATGGAATATATATTTTATAACCTTTATTTTCTTTCATTCTGAGTTGTGTAACTAGATTTTTGATTTTTTTTGTTAATACTGAAATTATTATTATGAATAACTTATTCTAATTAATTCTTTTACTATGCTCATTATTTTGTTATTCCAGCATTATAGATGCTTAAATACTTTTTATTTTTTAATTTATAAATAATATTTTTTTATTCTATAGGTAAATTCATAATATAAATTAAAAAGTTAAAAAAAAATAAAAGCAGATAAATATTTATAATTTAGAGGGTAAAATAGGTATTTGACAATCTAAAATTTGGAAAATCTAGTTGAGTGATTTTCTGAGTGCAATAGGCATAGTTCAGTGACTTTGTTGTTACAAACGAAAGTAAAGTGACTTTAGAAGATAATTTGAGATAGTCGAGTGACTATTTGAGTAATTGACTCATTAAGAAGGCATCCCTTATCAGTATAGAATGAATCTCTTTTTGTAAAACTTTTATTCTTGTTAGTTGCAATAAGTTATTTTCTACTTAGATTTTGTTGTTACTTCTGTCAATCGATCGTATATTACAATCAATTATAAAAGGCTCATATTAAACAAATTGTAGTCCATCGTAACAATTAAAGAAGACATTCTTAAAAGAGAACTACAATAATGAGTCATTAATGTTAACAATTTGGCAGAAGTTAGATTAGAAGCACAGTGCAACCAACAATTGAAGAAGCAGAAGGCTTCGAATCAAAGAAAGATTAGAAGTGGGAATTGCCACTCTACACTTCAGCCACTCTCGGACAGTTGCACAGGCATTATAAGATATAGAATAAAGGCACATTTGACGCTCTGATGTGTAACAGACGAAGCCTTTAAGAGAGAACATGATATGATTATTGAGATAATGTGATGAAAGAGAGAAGCAATGCTTAGACTTCCACTAAAATCAGAGAAGACACAATAAGAGTAACTAAATGGGTGGGAAAGTTGAAATAGTGGAGATAGGAAAAGTTGCAACGGTTTGGACGTTCTACTAAATAAAGTAAATGAAAAGATAAAGAAATATCAATATTTTGAGGAAAAAGATAATTTAACTTCCTGATTATAGAACGTGCCACATCACCGGAATACAAGTGGACAGAAATGAAAATACAGTGCAATACTCTGAAGGAGACTCTGCTGGCTGCGGGCGTCTCGATAAATGCAACTCACCTAAGTCTCCGTATCAATCATGCCGCTATGCCACTAAGCCACTAGCCACACATAAACCTGTGCAACAAAAATCCACAGCAAATGTAGCATGAGTACGAAAACAACGTGTACCCACTGAGTATCCCGTCTAATCTCAAAGAAGTATAGACGAGAGGTCGACTTCGACACTTACTAGTGGTTCAATAATAATATATTATTAATGCGAGTAATCAGGGATTTATTAAGAACGACAGTAGTTTCAAATAAGCCACGAACAAGAAAAAGTTCCTTTTTGTATTAAAAATCTCCAGATTCATAATCTATTAATTTTCAATTACCTCAAGTCGGGGAGAGCAAATATCAATATCAATAAATCTCAAGGCAAGCAATACAAGCATGCGCAAATCATGCCGGAGACGTACGACCCGATCCAACAATATTTAAACTGTGCACTGCCAGAGGGTCGAATGACACGAACCATAGATGCATCTATTTAATCTACCGAGGTGTTCGGCCCGTTCGGAAATTAAACACACAGACAGTCAACCAAGGAGTCAACATGGAACAGTTATCCAAAGAAAGCCAATTCTCTTTTAACAATTTAAGAAAATGAAGTTTAATTTTTTTAGAAATTCACTTACGAATTCGACGTGATTTAAGCAATTCAAACTATCAATAAGATTACAAATATTCCAATTACAGCATGTTTTTGGGTCCTAGACTACCCGAACTCAAACATAATAGTAGCTACGTACGGACTCTCGTCACCTCGTGCGTACGTAGGCCCCACAAATAGGAGCACATAACCAATTATTTTATCTATGGGGATAATTCCCTCTTACAAGGTTAGAAAGGAGACTCACCTCACTCCGGAGTCCAATAACCGGCTTCCAAGCCCCTTCCGACAACTCAAACTGATGCCCCAACGCTCCAAAACTAGCCAAATAACGGGAAACCAATGAAAATACACCCTAATACTCATAACAATTCAATTTATATAAAATTTCAACTCCGCTCGAAAAGTTGACAAAATCGCCCTCGGGCCCAAGCCCGGATTCCAAAATTTTTCGAAGATAAAGTTTACCCACAACCTCACGAACTCAAATATATAATAGGCTCTCAATTTCATGTCCAAAATCGTGGTCAAAATCCAAGTATACAAATTTCCTAGGTTTTCTTCAAAATCCCAAAATTTTTACTAATTTACATGATTTTCCATGTTAAGGTCTAGATATAGTCCAAGTAATTAACTTGCAATAGGTGGGAATCACTTGCCTTGACATGGATGATGAAAATGGAGCTCCAAAATCGCTTTTAGGTCGGCTCACATGGAGGAAATGAGATGAAATAAGCCAAACCCATTTCTTTACACTTATACACTGTCCAGACGACTCTTCTTCACGTTCGCGAGACCCCTATCGTGTTCGCGAAGAAGAAAATTCCCAAAAACCATTTTCCAAACTCTTCTCAGACAACCTCTAGTATAATAGCCATAACTTTTTGTACAAAACTCCAATGACAAACGGTTTAATATTTTGAAAACTAGAACCAAGATCTACAACTTTCATGTTTTGGTAATCTCCCAATTCCTTATAGATTTTGAGATATAAGCTGCCAAAGTCAGCCCTGTGCAACACAAATTTTTTCTTCATCTTCCTAGACAGCCTGTAGTGTACCAGCCATAACTTTTGGTACACAAATCTAAATGCTAAATGGTTTACCCTTCTGAAAACTAGACACAAAGGGCTACAACTTTCTTTTTTGGAGTATCTCCAAATTCCTTATAGATTGTGAGATATAAGCCTCCAAATTCAGCTTCTTCGTGAACGCGAGGATATCTTCACGAACGCCAAGAACAGAGTTCCTGAACCCAAATCCTTATTCGTGAACGCGAGAGGATCCTCGCGAACACAAAGAACAACACCATACACCAGCAACAGCTATTGCAAAACAACACGAAATGATCCGAAACCATCCCGAAACACACCCGAGGCCCTCGGGGCCCCGTCCAATCACACAAACTAGTCCCATAACATAA